TTAAAAATTTATTTAGTTGAATTGCAAAGTCATCCATATTATTTACATGCTGCTGAATTACTTGAAAATCACCAATCATTCTATAATAATAATGATTGGCATCTTCTGTTAATATTGATAATAGTACTATCTAAAAATGTGAGTGAAGTCCTATATTTATTATATTTAGTATTAAAAATACCAAATTTTTATCCACTGGTAGATATTATAGATTTTTTTTATGAATTATGTTTGATGTTTTTAAATTGTTACTATAATCATAAAAGTTTAAAACTTTCCACTTACAATCATACTTAGATTAATTCTGCTCTTTTCATTTGGGAAAATAGAATTAATGGTTGTCCATTAATGACATGTGAACGAGCACGAGTTGTAAATCATCTTTATTGCAACAAGGATAAAATTATTAATGTTGATTTTTTGAGTATAGAAACTATCTTTGAGATATTATTATTAATTTTTAATAGTCATAGCAACAGAAAGTTTTTAATTATTATATCTGAAGAAAATTGTGTCTATTCAACTTTAATATCTTTAGAAAAATCATTATATTATTTGTTTAAAAATGTAACTATAAAGAGTTATAGCTTCTATAAAAGAAAAATAGAATATGAAAAATATGATTTCATAATTCTCTTCACCTCGTATGAAGAAATAATAGAAAAAGTCAAAATACTAACCAATGTTACCCTAATTTTTTTTAAATATATTATTTGGTATTTTAATAATAATAATATATTTTTAAAAATAACAAATTCAGAAATTCCACTTTTTCATTTAACGTATAATTATGAAAAACACAAACTCTATTTTGGTAAATTATTATGTATTAAAAATGAAACTGATAGTATTTTTGAAACTGATGATTTTGCAAAAAAAAATTCAGTAGGAGAATGATGGAAAAATTGGAATGATGATGTAAATATAAGCACACAAACTGTAATAAACTCCCTGAAACTATTGGCATATGAACTGTTTTACATTTGGGATGATGATAGCAACAAATACATAAAAAATTATAATCCTCAAAAATTTTTGCACAAATACATAAAAATTTATAATCCTCAAAAATTTTTGCTATCTTCCATTTTTTAACTAATTAATTTTTAAAACACTACCTCTTTCCAAATAAAAGATATAGAATAAACTATTTTTTTAATTATAAAGATAGATTAAAGGAAAATGAATACATAAATATTCAACTATTTCTTTTTTAACTTAATAATGACAGCAATACCAGAAATATTTCTTCAAGAAATTTTTGCTCAACTTCCTTATGAAGACTTATTAAATTATTGTGCTCCAGTTTGTAAGCAATGGTGGAATGTAATTGGAAATCAATATTGTATCCCATTTCATCAGTTACATTATCGATATTGTAAAGAACCTTACTCTAAATTTCAAAGTCCTATTGGTAAAAACAACATGTATAATAATAATGATAGTTGTATCAATGCTATAGAAATATTGAAAAACATTATTTTATATCATTCTTTTCCTGTTATTACTCCATTTTTAAAAATAATTGAATATAAGAAATCTAGTAAAATCTATAATTTGAAAAATGACTTATTAGAATTTTATAATCATCCAATGTATTCTTCAGTCGTTACATTAATTATAGAACAAAAACAGCATAAATTTCAGCTACAGTCAAATATTATCAATGGCTGGCGTATAATAGCCTTAATAGCAAAATTTTCTCGGGATGTAAGTGAAATTCAATATTTAATATATTTAATATTAAAAATACAAAAAAATTTCTCATTGGTTGAAATCATAGGTTTTTTTTATGGATTATGTATGATGTTTTTGTGTCATTATTATAATTACAATATATTTTATACTGATCATTACAAAATTCACTCTGCTCTTTTTCTTTGGGAAAATCGAATTTATGATGGCGAATATCCTTTAACAACAACAAGAATGTGTGAACAAGCATGAATAATCAATCACCTTTTTAGTAATAATCATAATGATGAAAATATAATTAAAATAGAGTATATAGCAGGAATAAATATTTATGATTTATTAAATCAAATTTTTACTTATTACAATAAAAAGAAATTTTTAGTTTGGAAAAATTTAAATAATGATAAAGTCTTACCCTTAATAACTCGTTTATTTAACAATGTAACAACATTGCCCATCAAAGATAACATATTTAATGAGACATTGGAAATGTATGATTGTATTATTATTTTAAAAACTAAAAAAGATGACACAGATTTTTTTTGTATAATAATAACATCAAAATAATTATTTTTGAAGATGCATTTTATTCAAAACAATGGTATTTTAACAATGAATGTAAATCATTATTATCATCATCATTAAAAGTGAATAGTCTTTTTCGTTTAGTACAGGGTACTAAATCTCAAAATTTGTGTTGGATAATGAACAGTGTGTTACAGTATAAGAAATTTGAAACAAAATTTCCCAGAGTTTTTGTTATTGGTGAAAGACCAAATGATATCTATAAAGAAGAACAGTCAAATAATATACCAATTATTATATTAGTTGATAATTACTTTGATATGTATAGACACTGTTATATATATTTTCATAGGAATGAAACCTTCACTATTTTAACTAACAAAAAAGAATTAGAAAGTAAATTGAATTCTAATAAATATTGGAAAAAAGAAAAAAAATATGTGGAGATGAAATAAAATGGTTTCAAGCTCAGAAGTGTATTGATATATCATACAATCATAATTGCTCTTTTAATATTGAGTCTATATATTTAGTAGATTTTGTGATCTTGATAAAATTAATTAATATACCAAATTTTTCTATTATTTCAATACATTATAACGATTTATCTAATAGTCAAGCAATTAATAAATTTAATGATTGTTTATATTCTACTATTGAAATTGCTAATAATAGAATAGAATTTACTGGCTGGACATAATTTATAGAGTATAAAATATCTTATTCATTTACTCAATTAGTAGCACACAGTGAATTTACTAACTAATGAAAATTATTATCAGTGTAAAAATTGTACAAAATGCAGAAAAAGAATTAAAAAAAGAAACTCTTGTTTTTAGAAAACAATCACAAGATACTGTTACATCTAAAATACTTGGGTTTACTTATAATGATAATTTTTCTATTTATGATGTCAATTATTTTTGTTTAGAATGCAGTAATGATTCATATTATAATGAATATTGTCATAATAGTAGATTTTTTTTTAATTGTAAGAAATTAATATATGATATTATCAATTACTAGTGTAAAAGATATGAATAATTAAATTATTAAGTTAATGAGGCCTTAATTAACTGTTGCTATCTAACACTACATTGTTTACCATCATTTTCTCAACTTGACAAACATTAGAAAAAAAATTTTATGATCACATAATTTTTTTTAGTATCATATAAAATATTTTACCAACACAGAATTCAAACTCCATGTGGCAGTACTCTTGGGAACCAACCAACCCCTGTGCAGTACGGGATGTAACATCCTGTTTTTCAACTTGACAAACATTAGAAATTTTTTTTTATGATCTTATATTTTTTTTAGTATTATATAAAATATTTTACCAACACATAATTCAAACTCCATGTGGTAGTACTCATGGGAACCAACAACCAACCCCTGTGCAGTACAGGATGTTACATCCTGTTTTTCAACTTGATAAACATTTTTATGATCATATATTTTTTTTAGTATCATATAAAATATTTTACCAACACAGAATTCAAACTCCATGTGGCAGTACTCTTCGGAACTAACCAACCTGTCTCTGTGCAGTACAGGATGTAGCATCCTGTTTCTCAATGTTGGCTTATACATCGATACCATGCCCAGCCCTTCTAGGGTAGGGTAGGTGCCTGAGCCCGAGCCTTTAGCTCATAAGACTGTCATTCCCATTAGCCCCCTTGAGGCGGGGATGGCAGACCAGAGAGGCCTAGCCTGTGGCTAGGTCTGGGGCCAGTTGGTCCCAAAGATGAGGAGGTACTTGTGCCTCCTCCCATGGGAGACTTAGGTCTCAGACACTCCCTAAAGAGGGAGCCAAGGCCGGGCCACCACTTGGAAAAGGCCTGGGCCGGGAGAATACCGGCTAATATTTAATAATAATAATAATAAGTTGGGGGCCTTTTTAAATTTAAAAATCATGATGGTAACATATTTTTTATGATCATGTAAAATATTTATTGATATTAGAAAATTTTTTTATGATGCCAAAATCTTTTCTTATTTTTTGATCATTGAAAATATTACAATAATGGTTAAAAAATTTCTATGATGGTAAAATATTTTAGATCATTATATAAAATATTTTGTGATCATTGAAAATATTACCATGATTGTTAAAATTTTTCTATTATGGTAAAATATTTCATATCATCATACAAAATATTTTGTGATCATTGAAAATATTACCATGATGATTAAAATTTTTCTATGATGCCAAAATCTTTTCCAAGAAACAAGATGTTACATCCTGTACTGTACAGGGTTTCCAAGACTACTGCCATATGGAGTGTGAATTCTGTGTTGGTAAAATAATTTAAATGATACTAAAAAAAAATATATGATAAAAAAAATTCTAATATTTGTCAAGTTTAGAAACAGGGAGGTTCCCAAGAGACTGCTACATGGAGAGTGAACTCTATGTTGGTAAAATATTTTATGTGATACTAAAAAAAATATATGATCATAAAAAAAATTTCTACTGTTGTCAAGTTGAAAAACAGGATGTTACATCCTGTACTGGCACAGGGAGGTTCCCAGCCACATGGAGAGTGAATTCTGTGTTGGTAAAATATTTTATATGATACTAAAAAAAATATATGATCATAAAAAAAGATCTCTACTACTTGTCAAGTTGAAAAACAGGATGTTACATCCTGTACTGGCACAGGGAGGTTCCCAACAGACTGCCACATGGAGAGTGAATTTTGTGTTGGGAAAATCTTTTATATACAGGATGTTACATCCTGTACTGGCACAGGGAGGTTCCATTTCAGTCACACCCTGTCCCTAGTCACAGTCACACTATGTGATAGCACTCAGTGATAAACATTCATACTACTCCAATGCACTTTTCTTCTCTTGGTAAGTAATATAAAACAAGTTGTGAATTAATATAAGTATATTTTAAACAAGTTATGAACATACATATATTGTGTGCAGTGTAGTAGTGATAGTAATATCAGTGGTGCTATGGTACCAGCAGCAGTGGTTGGTAGTAGCAGTGGTATCATGATGGTTAAAAATTTTCTGTAATTGTAAAATATTTTGAAACATCATATAAAATATTTTGTGATCATTGAAAATATTACCGTGATGGTTAAAAATTTTTCTATGATGGTAAAATATTTTAGATCATCAAATAAAATATTTTGTGATCATTGAAAATATTACCATGATGGTTAAAAGTTTTTCTATGATGGTAAAATATTTTAGATCATCAAATAAAATATTTTGTGACCATTGAAAATATTACCGTGATGGTTAAAATTTTTTATATGATGGTAAAATATTTTGGATCATCAACTAAAATATTTTGTGATCATTGAAAATATTACCGTGATGGTTAAAAATTTTTATATGATGGTAAAATATTTTAGATCATCAAATAAAATATTTTGTCATCATTGAAAATATTACCGTGATGGTTAAAAATTTTTATATGATGGTAAAATATTTTATATCATTAAATAAAATATTTTGTGATCATTGAAAATATTACCGTGATGGTTAAAATTTTTATATGATCATAAAATATTTTATATAATGATACAGAATTCACTTCATATGGTAGTAGCCTAATGTACATCCTGTACAGTACAGGATGTACATCCTGTTTCTTAACTAGGTGTCTTAAGTCAAATTTTTTTTTATGAAATTAAAATGTTTTATATGATGGTAATATGTTCTGTACACTACAGGATGTACATCCTGTTTCTGAACTGGTGTCTCTTTCTCTTTCTGTATCAGTTTATGATAATTTTTCTATAATGGTAAAAAATATTCAATGAAAGTAAAATCTTTCATATGATGGTAGAATTTTTTGTTGTCTAATCACAAACATTTAATATAGATACATAGTGTACAGTATCTTTTTTAATTGGTGTAGTGTAATATTTATGTTTGTCTCTAGTTTTCTGATCTTTGGTATGTACTCAATTGTACTCACATCTGAATAAATACTTCCCAACATTTGTATCTCATTTTTTTTTCTTTCTAGATCTAAAGATTTGGGTAATTGCTTTCCAGAATCAACATGGAACTTTCCTTTTTGAAGTGGATAATTTGAACATGGAGCTTCCCTTTTTTTATTTTTACAGATAACATTAATATTACAATATTAAAGTCATAAATTTGATTTATCAGACATTTATAAAGAATATAGAGCAAAACATATCTTGATGTTTTTGAATTAATGGTTGTTCATTAACGATATCTGAATGAGCACGAGTGGTAAATCATCTCTATCTACATAATAATAATGACAAAACTATTGTCGTTGAGTTTATAAGTACAAAAATCATCTTTGATATATTTGAGATATTATTATTAATTTTTAATAGTCATAATCATCATATTGATAAGAAACTATAGAAGAAACCATAGAAAAAGTAAAAAATTTAACTAATTTTCCTATAATTATTTTTAAATGTATTGATTTGTGTTTTAATGATAAAAATTAGTACTGACCCTTTTCATAAGAGCTATAAAAGCAAAAAGGGAAGCAGCAGTGAGAGAGGTTGAAGCAAGTTAAGCCATGCCACCACTATCACACTCTTCTCAAGACTAAACATTTTTCATTGTCAGTGAACTAATGGATTTTTCAGACGTAGAATCTGGTGAAGGAGGAAAGAGAGAGAAAACGTAAGATAACCAGTGTGACCAGCCCCTCCTTGGCCATTCCAGATGTGGTGACCAGCCCCTCCTTGGCCATTCCAGATGTGGCCACCCGAGAATCGAAAAAGCATTGTGACCATCCCCTCCTTGGCCATCCCAGATGTGTCCAGTCCTTCTTTGGCCACCCCAGATGTGGTCACCCGACATTGCCGAGTTAGAGGATCAAAAAAGCGTAAAGTAGATGACTCATCTGTGACCATCCCCTCCTTGGCCATCCCAAATGTGGCCAGTCCTTCTTTGGCCACCCCAGATGTGGCCACCCAACGTTGCCGAGTTAGAGGATCGAAAAAGCGTAAACTAGATGACTCATCTGTGACCATCCCCTCCTTGGCCACCCTAGATGTGGCCAGCCTTTCCTGCACGAGCTCAGCTGTCACATCGTCATCATCATTTAAGTCTTTCGTACATGAGGTCTCGACAGTCTCGGACATTTACAAACTAGCGGGTAATGCTTTCAATTATCAGGATTATCTGGATCGCATTACATTTTCTAGTGAAGTATGGAAAGAAGACGACGTAAAGAAATTCAGGGTGGCTAAAGAAAAAGTGAATCATCTGTATTACATTAATTGTAATGATTTTCACAGTACCAATAATTATACTTATGTAGATAGATATACATTAATTTTACGATTGGTGTACGATAATAGTCATTATATTTTTGTAGCAATAAAATGTACTAACTGTTTTTTTTAGATATCTACCTGATAGCATATATGGATGTATGTACCTTACCTTTAATGTTACTTTCTTAGTAAATAATATTGTTATAGAGTTGCTCAAAGACGAAACTATGCAAAAAAATATACAAAATAATTTAATCTTATCGCTTAAAGACAAATGCCAATATATTATAAGATCGATAGATATATCACCACCATCGCTGAAGTCCCTGTGCCACTTGACTGTCCGGGACCACCAGGACAAACTGAAATTCTACCCAGAAATTCTTCCCCAAATTCTAACCAAGAGTCTGACTGAATTCATTAATTATAGCAAAACTAATGTAATAGTCACCTATGCTCCTCGATGTCCTGCCCACATTATTCCATCGAATTTGCCTGTAACTTTATATAAATGCAAGGAATTACATTTAAATTCAAAATCAGAAATTTTACTATTTTTATGGAAATAGGCTTATGTTTGTCAAGTTGAAAAACAGGATGTTACATCCTGTATTGCACAGGGGTTGGTTGGTTCCCAAGAATAATGCCACATGGAGTGTGAATTTTATATGATGGTAATATATTTATTCTGTACAGTACAGGATGTACATCCTGTTTCATCAGTGCCAACCATAGGTCTGAAGGGAGAGGAGGTGTATTGCTCTGATTAATCACGGCTGACCCTTGGGACCCGTAATCTGATCCTTTCTCACAAGTTAACCGTGAAGAGAAGAAAGCACTTAGAAGGAATTCATAAAACTATAAAAGAAAAGAGGGAAGCAGCAGCGAGAGAGGCGGCGGTGTCTGGTGAAGGAAGAAAGAGAAAACGTAAGAAAACTAGTGTGACCACAGCCCTTCCTTGGCCACTCCAGATGTGGCCACCCAACGTTGCCGAGCTAGAGGATGAAAAAGCGTAAAGTAGATGACTCATCTGTTTGGCCAGTCCTTCCTTGACCACTCCAGATGTAGCCAGGTAAAGGAGGTTTTGTGTGCAGTGGAATTACATTTAAATTCAAAATCAGAAAATTTTGCTATTTTTTATACATACTATTTACACAAAACTTGTGTGTGCCACATGGAGTGAATTCTGTGTTGGTAAAATATTTTATGTGATCCTAAAAAAAATTATATGATCATGAAAAATATTTCTAAAGTTTGCAATTTGTGATTATTTTAGATCATCAAAAACAATATTTTATGTCAAATATATCTGAATAAATACTTCCCAACAGTTGTAACTCATTTTTTTCTTTCTAGATGTGGATAATTTCAACATGGAACTTCCCTTTTTTATTTTTACAAATAATATTAATATTACTTAAGTATCTATTAATATATATTATTAATTTTTTTAGGGATTATCTTCGATGTTTTTGAATTAATATCTGTTCATTAACGACATGTGAATATTTTTGAGATATTATTATTAATTTTTAATAGTCATATTAAATTATTAAATCTGAACTATATGTAGATGATTCTTTATAATTTGTTCAAAAAATGTAACTATAATAAATAATTATAACTTAATAAAGAAATATGAAAAACATGATTTCTTAATAATTTTATCCTCATGTAAAGAAACTATGGAAGAAACCATAGAAAAGGTAAAACATCTAACCAATTTTCCCATAATTATTTTTTAAATGAAATGTATTTAAATAAATATGATTTAATTGATTCAGGGGATCATATATAATTTTGCCTTAATGTATAAAAAGAATATTAAGACTTTTACTTGACTATAAAATATTATGGCAACAACAACATCAAAATTACTCGAAGAAATTTTCGCTCAAATTCCTTATCAAGACTTATTAAACTGTTGCGCTCCAGTATGTAAGCAATGAAGAAATATAATAGTTAATCAGCATTATGTGCCACTTTGTCAATTATATCACAGATATTGCAAAGAACCTTATTCAATGTTTAAAAGTCCCTTTGGTAATAATGGTAGTGCTATTGATATTTTAAGATCATTTTTTCGAAAAAAAGATGAATATGTATGTCAATTTTTATTACAAATTATTGAATATAAAAATCAAATATATAAAACCTATAATTTTCAAACTGATTTAGTCGAATTGCACACTCATCCACACTATAAATATGCTGCTGCATATTTATAGTGTTACAACTGTGAAAACCCCAATGCAGCTGAATAATCTCAACCAGCACCCACACACTCTTCCCTGTGCCCCCACCCCCCACATCACAAACCCCACTGCCACAGCACCTCCCTATGGGCACTCTGCCCTCACCCCTCATCACAAATCCCACCCACATCACAAACCACCATAACCCCCCAAAGGGCTTCCACCCCCCAACCCCAATATTCTCCCAGGTCCACTATGATAGACAAGAAGCTGAAGGTGTGGTACACAAAAGCAGATGGAATAGCAAATAAATACAAGGAATGGCATGAAAGAATCAACGAAAAATCCCAGGACATCATAGCAGTCACAGAAACAAAACTCACTGAGACAATAACAGATGCAGTCTTCCCACCAGGATATCAGATACTGAGGAAAGATATGTCAGCATAGTTGCTGATCCCGTATATGTATATGTTATTTGAGTATCATAGTTAGTACCACCCATATGTTTTACATACACAACCCCTTGCTAGGCCCAGAGACTAGTTTGTGTGACATCACGTGATGCCACATGACTGCGTGGGATGTGCTGCATCGGCCTCAGTTCCCATTAGACCTACCAAGCAGCAACAGGCAGGCTGGGCTTCCCCTTTCACACTCTGCCAATATATGTGTTACCATCCAACAAGTGTGTTTAACTCCAACCATCACATCTCCTACGAACCCCCACTACATATAGAAGGAGCAGAGGGGAAGGAGGGGTTGCACTTCTCATAAAAAACCGATGGAGTTTCGAGGAAACGTAGGGCATGGACGAGATAGGAGAAACGAACTACATAGCAGGCACAATTCAATCTGGGGAACATAAGGTAGTCATTGCTCTGATGTATAACCCACCACAGAACTGCAGGAGGCCAAGAGAGGAATATGATGAGAACAACAGAGCGATGGTGAGGCTGAGATGGCACGAAGAGCTCAAATGTGCAGAGAAAAGTTACTAGTTATGGGTGATTTCAACCACAAGGAGATCGATAGGGAAAACCTGGAGCCTCACGTGAGCCCCGAAACATGGAGAGCCAAGATGATGGATGTGGTACTGGAAAACCTCATGCATCAACACACCAGGGACACTACCAGAGAGCGAGGGGAGGATGAACCAGCAAGACTGAACCTTGTGTTCACCCTGAGTAGCTCAGACACTGATGACATCACATATGAGAGGCCCCTCGGAGCTAGTGACCAAGTAGTTCTGAGTTTTGATTACATAGTAGAGTTACAGGTGAAGAGGGTAACAGGAGTCGAATAGGAAAAGCCAAACTATAAAAGGGGGGGGGGTACACAGGCATGAGGAACTTCCTGCGAGAGGTGCAGTGGGACAGAGAAATGGTAGGAAAGACAGTAAATGAAATGATGGAGTATGTAACAACAAAATGCAAGGAGGCAGAGGAAAGGTTTGTTCCCAGTGGCAACAGAAACAATGGGAAGACCAAAGCGAGTCCTTGGTTTACCCAAAGGTGCAGGGAGGCAAAAACTAAGTGCATTAGAGAATGGAAGAGGTATAGAAGGCAAAGGACCCAGGAAAATAAGGAGATCAGTCACAGAGCCAAAAACAAATATGCACAGATAAGCAGGGAGGCCCAGCAACAGTATGAAAATGACATGCATCGAAAGCCAAGTCTGACCCAAAACTGCTGTTTAGCTACATTAGGAGAAAGACGACAGTCAAAGACCAGGTAATCAGGCTGAAGATAGAAGGTGGGGAACTCACAAGAAACGATCAAGAGGTATGCGAGGAGCTCAACAGGAGATTTAAGGAAGTATTCACAGTGGAGACAGAAAGGACTCCGGGAAGACAGGACAGAGGGGGACACCAACAGGGAATAGACCAACAGGTGCTGGACGATATGCACACAACTGAGGAGGAGGTGAAGCTGCCAAGTGACCTTGTTACCTCAAAGGCAATGGGACCGGACAACATCTCCCCGTGGGTCCTAAGGACGGGAGCAGTTATAATGTGTGTGCCATTAACCATTAACCACAATCTTCAACACATACCTTGAAACTGGGCAACTACCTGAGGTATGGAAGACCGCAAATGTAGTTCCCATTTTTAAAAAAAGAGACAGAAAAGAGGCACTAAATTACAGGCCAGTGTCACTGACCTGTATAGTATGCAAAGTCATGGAGAAGATTATCAGGAGAAGAGTGGTGGAGCACCTGGAACAGAACAAGATTATTGATGATAATCAGCGTGGATTCATAGAAGGAAAATCCTGTGTCACAAACCTTCTGGAGTTCTATAACAAAGTTACAGAAGTGTAACACGAGAGATAAGGGTGGGTTGATTGCATTTTCTTGGGCTGCAACAAGGCCTTTGACACAGTTCCTCACAAGAGACTAGTGCAGAAACTAGAGGATCATTCACATATAACAGGAAGGGCACTGCAATGGATCAGAGAATACCTTACAGGGAGGCAAGAACGAGTCATGGTACAAGATAAGGTATCACAGTGGGCACCTGTGACGAGCGGGAATCTTTCAAGACACTGTACACTGTGTACATCAAGCCCATACTGGAGTATGCAGCTCCAGTTTGGATCCAACACCTGGTCAAACACGTCAAGAAATTAGAGAAAGTGCAAAGGTTTGCAACAAGTCTAGTTCCGGAGCTCATAGGTATGTCCTACGAAGAAAGGTTGAGGGAAATCGGACTGACGATATTGGAGGACAGGCGGGTCAGGGGAGACATGATAACGACATATAAAATACTGCATGGAATAGATAAGGTAAATAGAGATAGGTTGTTCCAGAGAGGGGACACAGAGACAAGGGGTCGCAATTGGAAGCTGAAGACTCAGACGAGTCAGAGGAATGTTAGAAAGTATTTCTTCAGTTATAGAGTCGTCAGGAAGTGAAATAGCGTAGCAAATGATGTAGTGGAGGCAGGAACCATACATAGCTTTAAGACGAGGTATGATAAAGCTCTGGAAGCAGAGAGAGGGCCTAGTAGCGATCAGTGAAGTATCGGGGCCAGGAGCTGAGTCTCGACCCCTACAACCACACACACACATACACACACTACTAGAAAGTGATGTGAAAGGTGCCTCATGGTTATTCGCTACCTGAAGCTGAGCAATTAAAGTGTGGAAATCTGAATTAATATGTGTTATGTGCCACGCTTAGGTCTATTTGTTGTTAAAACGTTTCACCTCCAAAGTCAACTATTTCAATCAAATACAAATGATTATAAAACTGAAGACAGTAGAGATGGAAAGGTAATAAGTTCTTCAGTATAGATATGTTGTCAGTCAGCATTGTATACCATTTATAATATATTTTATGACACAGCATTAAATATATTATAAATGTAATATGGGATGTAATATGGCAAAGGTTTAGAAAACTAAGGATACGACCTAGTGCCCGTGAGGTTATGTATCGTTTCCTACATGGTATATTGGCAATGGGAGCGATGCTCCGAGATAAGAGGGTCATCGAGGGTGGGGGGCGAAGCAGATGCAGTGTGGAAGAGACTGCCTATCATGTTGTCTATTTTTGTGAAGGTTTTGAGTGCATCAGGGTATGGATGACTAAGGTAGTGGCTAGGGTGGGGGGTCAAGGTGTGTCGGTAGTGAGAGCGTTGAGTCTTGATACGAGTGGGGTGGATGAGGGTGTGGTAAGGGGTTTAGCATACATAATCGTTGACTACATATGTTTTGTGGGGTATAAGGGGAAAGGAGGGTGGGGAAGTGCTGAGAAGGATTTTGGCGGCGACGTTTTATCGAACTTTGTGTCGCAATAGAGACATATACGGGAAAAGGTGGGGTGAGGTTTTTTCCGAAGGTTATAGAGGACTAACAATAGGAAATTTAAGGGCGTTATAACTGGTTTTTAACAGCCGGCGTGAGTATGTTGGTAAAAGGGGGAGAGAGTCAGTGATATTCAACGGGCTGACCTCCTCGGGTGTGAAGTGATGGGTGGATGGGTGTGACTGGAGGTACACATATGGAACTGGATGTGATGGTGTGAAAGATCTATTTTGTTTAGTTCCCTTGTTGGGGAAGGTATAAATAAAAGTTTAAATATATAACATTTATAAATATATAACATATAAAATATGTAACATTAATTTTTCTTTGGTAGCGAATTATGTCCCGCTTGTACTGTTCTTCAAGTGAATTTTAACTTGAGAGGGTTTTCATTTCACTATGTTCCTTGAAACATTGAGGTTTTGACATTTTTTTTTTAAGTAATTACCTCTTATGTAATCATGTGTAAATAAGGAGTAGTACCATAAA